ATCGATATCAATTTGACAACGATTCGATGACTCATTTTTCGCTATATATCGGATAATATTTAATTTTTTAAAATAAAATTAAAAAAAATATTTTCTCTGTACGCGAATACTTTTTGTACTCAATGTATATATATGTATATACGTATGTGTGTGTGTATATACATATATGTATAAAATGTATGTATAAAATTTTCCCTTCCCTTTTTCCTCAGTAAACTCCTTCTGTGTTCGTGTTTCGCTCTATGTTTGTCAAAAACTTCGAACGCCGTTCTATGGAAAATTTGTAGTTGGTACTCGAAATCGGGTAAAGCAGACATCCGTGTGATTCGGGAATAAGAATTTTATTGGATTCTGTCACCCATGTACCTTTTATTAGCTCTATATGAAACGATCACGGTGGCCCCCTTTGAGAATCTAACATATACACAGATGCGCATAAACGTATGTACGTATGAGTTGCAAGCATATAAATATATCGAATCATCTGACTTTTTCCTGTTGATTCTAAATGCTGAGACGATATGGGTTTACTGAACTGTTTAATTTGACGACAGAAAAAGGAACTTTGATATTTTTCTTGCGTAAACCGTAAATCGTTCTTATACGATATGTCTAAAAAGAACGTAAATTACAAAAAGTTTTAGAAACAAGAACATATCATGTGTGATGATGTAATATTTTATATAGTAAAGTTACGAATAACTGTAATATTAATGCGCTAGATAAGAATTAATTATTTATACTTTTATATAAAATTAAGTTTTCCATAAAAGAGAAAAAACTATTTTTTAACTTGACAGAAAATTGTCGACTAATCAAATAATATTGGCAAAAAGAATATATTCTTAACACGATCAAATGTCATTTTTGTGAACTATTTTTTTATGAAGTTAAGTTAGTTTGTTTTTAATAATTAATAGAGTAATGTTTATCGTATCCATTCATGGTAATAATTCGTATTTTCTAAGTTGTGTCATTTTTTAAATAAGAGAACGGTATATTATTTATTCAATTAGATAATCAATTAATTTCTAATCCACGATACTAGTGATTTGCAATGTAACGGTATTCTAATAGCTAATTTCACGCTGGTTGACTGAACTTTTCGAAAAACGAAAGCACTCACCGCGCGTGCAATCGATAATGACAAACAAAACTACGAAACGTAGTATAAACTGGTTCCTCGGTGATATACTTATAATAAAATGCAACGCTCTTGATTATAGTGTCCAGAAGTCTAAATCACTTAAGAAAAAGGAAATTTTAAACGAGAGGCGATATGCCTATATCATCATTTGCCAGAAATTTAGGAAATGACTGTTAGTAAATAATTTTCCTTCCATCTTTGAGAATTTTCTGTTGTACTCAAAGGCATGATTCAACCTAATTATACTCAAAGGCATAGTTCAACCTGGATTACCGTAACAAGTACGACCGAGGATTCCGATATAGAAAAACTCGGAGGAGAGAAAAACTCAGTGATGGATCGATTCCTGTACAATATTTTTTTTCATGCACGTCATGCGAAGTAACGTGCGTTATTATCGTAACATATCGTGCACGACACTCTTTGTTTACGCGTGCGGTTTGCATCGCGTACTGCGTACCGGATTGTCGAACGTAAACGATCTTTCGCGTTTATCTCGCGTGAAACAATGTTCGCTTCGAGAGAGGAATTAATTGGAATGTTTGAAAACATCACCGCGACAAGCCAACGTTACAAAGTAACAGTCTGTGCAGCCGAGCAATAAATATTGTATTCCTCGCTTCTTATTCACGAATATCGTATCGATTTAATAAAAAAAAAGAGACAGAAAAAAAATTAAAAAACTCCATATCTTCGACGTAACTGTTTCTGCAGCAGAAGAGGTATGGGGTGCGTTTCTGGTCGCGAATCGAACAACTATCGATATAAATGGGAGAAAAAGAGGGTGAGAAAAAAACCGCAACCAGCTTGCAGTCGATAGGCAAGATACAAGGCAATATCGATTGAATATTAGGATCTGCGGGGCATGCGGAACCGGCGTGCACACATTAGCCTCTTTGACTTGCTAAATAGGTTAATTTGAATGTTTAAATTCCGGCTTGGTGCAACTCAATTTGCGAGAGGATTCCGCGTCTGGTTAATTCCTTTCCTTCGTCCCGCGAGCCACCTCGCGTCCCTCTTCCTCTACAGCTCCTCCTGCTTCATCTTCTCCTGCATTGCCCAACACCAAAATCACTCTTGAAGCTGGACTGTTAACTTCCAGCGCTGCACGCACGCACGCACGTATACCTCTATCTCTTCCCTGAGGCCCTCACATGGTTTCTCCCTTAATTGGAGAGTATTATATGCGCTCCGCTACGCCTGATCTTTTACGCATGGCGACTTTTCGATTGCCAGACCTGCCAGACGCGACAAAAAGGACGTTGGAATGCAAATGGAGATTCGGATCGCGTTCGTCGCTTAACATAATTCGTGGCCAATATAGCAGTGAGACCGAGAAAATAGCGGGAACTGCAGTGGAAATAATGAAACCGCAGAACGCCATAAATTTACAACTATCGAACTAATACTTCGTTGGACTGCAATTAAATTTTTAAACGCAGTTTCCAGTAATAATGGTAAATCATCCGCGCGATTACGTGCACATTGACAAATCTTTGTTAAATACTCATCCAAAAGCTACGTTAAATGATACAATATATTATTCTTGTATATATTATATAAATAATATCTTATATACAAGTAAAATCTTTTTTTTTTGTAACTTAATTGTATTCAAGATCGCCAACATAAACGCATATTTATGCCAAAACTTGGGACAAAAATTTATTTACAACTTTATCCATCTAATATAAAAAACATTAGAAAACGCGCGCGCGCACGCCTTTATATATAAATCAATATAATCTGCGTACTGACATACACACACATGTACAGTAAGTGCAAAAAATATTCGGGCAAGGAAATTTTTTGAGACTTTCACGGGTATCTTCTTCAGAGGTGTTAAAAGGTTTGCGGGCTATCGCCGTGTCGTGATTCATTGCTAATGCCAACGTTTCGTGAACCTTGCCGTTCACTTCATCAGGGTAAGGAGCGCACTGATACCGAGCTACTTCTCCGAAGGCACGTGTTCCACCAAAGAACGCATCCATTTCACTAAGACACAAATAGACAGGATTTCTCAGAAATCCTTTCAACTCCATCTTCTCCTTTCATCCACATTGCGACAAGACATTTGACAAATCCTAGATCGCATTACGTACGAACAAACCCAGAGCATCCACACGCAGTGCACAGAATGGCAGAAGCAGAAATACAGCATCCTGTGTCCACACAAATGGCCTTAACGGATTCTACTCCACGCGGTCAATAACGCTTCCAGTAAAGCTTGTTACCCTGCTGAATCTGCATTGGTCAAGGGACTCAATTTTGTAATGACTCCTAATAGGATCCCAAAAGAAGAAATTATTAGTCAAATCAAGTCAACCATCGATAGCCTTCATATAACAGAATAAACAGTCAACATATGGACATAGGTAGCTAATATTCTCCGCAAAGTCTCTAGTGTCACCAGAGAAGAGCGACTGGCACTTCAGGAAATGACCCAGACATCATCGTACTTCCAGTGGACAAAGGCAACACGATGGTAGTCATGAATACATCAGACTACAGAATGAAGATAAAGACCCTCCTTTCGGATGAAACATACACCAGGCTCGATAAAGACTTAGCAAACAAGATTACACGGAACACTAGTGTCTTAATAGAAAAAAATAGACTTCCCAGGAAAAAACTAAGGCAACATTGAATCCACGAAGTCCCTTCCACCAAGACTATATGGACTCCCAAAAATACATAAACCTGATGTCCCTCTCAAACCAATTATTAGTGCCATAAAATCCTGTGTATATATAACCTTTCTTAGCTTGTAAATTATAACCTCTGATAGGAAGGACCGAATCGCATATATCACAAACTCGATGAATTTTGCACAAAAAATACAAAAAATCCGTCTTTACCCTGAAGACATATTGGTGAGCTTCGATGTAAAATCACTTTTCACGAAGGTGCCAAAGAAACTCTGATTATAATTAAGACCTCACACATGAAGTGCCTAACAACATCATCCCTTCAATTGAGCACTGACAATCACTTCTCCTACAACGACCAATTCTGCGAACAGACTTCTGGGGCGATTATGAATTCTCCCATACATCTCTTCTGTAATTGCAAACATCTTTATGGAAGAATACTTTAAGAAAGAAGTTCTTCGCAAGACACCCAGCAAACCAGAGGTTTGGTTCCATTATGTAGACGATACATTCATAATCTGGAGACACGATAGTTAGGAACTTTATAAACTCTTAAACTTCCTCAACAATCAATATCCAAGGATCCGGTTTACCATGAATATAGAAGAGAATGGATGGCATCCCTTTCCTGAATGTTCTTGTTACAAAACTGGTTGACACTACCCTGGGCCATCAAGTATATAGGAAGCCAACACACACTGATGGATACCTGCATTAGAATGTATGATATATACATATTATTAATCAAAATTCTATTACAAACTATAAAATGGCCTACACTATAAATGGCAGAATAATATTTACACCGTGCTATCCCGGTTATTACAAACTTATGCGTCCAAGATATTCACATTAGAAATTGTAAAGTATAATAAAAAGTACCTTACACTGAAAGTAAGGCTTTCTTATAGTAACCTCTACGAAAAATTACTTTTAACATCTTTTCCTTGTGTTTTTATAGTATTTCAAGCCATCGAATAGAATTATGACTACAAAAAAACACAACATTCGCTATGTATATATAATGTACATGTAATGGACACTTCAAAAAATATATTTAACAATTTTAAGTTACATCTACATCAGAAACAATACATTCGAAATAAATCGTTGAGGATAATTAATAAAACTACTAGAATATACACATTTTTCGCATATTAATAGAAACAATTTGAACTTTTGCAAAATTACTCCTCTAGTTCAAACTCCTCTAATGATTGTACATGTCGAGCTTTTCGATTACCATTCGCAGAGAAGTACAGAACAATTCCCTCTTTCAGCAAGCGCCATCTCTTAATTTATAATAATCTACGTAAAAATTATAGCTATTAATAATCTTTCAAAATTTAATGGCCTAATGTCAGATTGTAATAAATGCACCTTACAATCTTTAGATTATAAAATTTGAAATATGAAAAATACGCTGTAATAGTGAGTTATAACTTTTTAAATACTTACTCGGTCTGTATGCAATTATAACATACTTCTTTATGTCTTTCTCTTTAACTGCTACCATTCGATATTTCGTGCAACTATTGTAACAGAGCATGTAACAGACGCTTTGGAATGTGCGATCTTTAAACTCGCGATTCCTGGCACAAATTGTTCGATTACCATCATTATCACGGTCCTCTTGGTACATGGCCTGAGTAGTAGTCGTCTCCACTCCCAAACCGATCACTCCTTCCTCATCACAGTGCTCGCAATTGCACGCGGTTGCATCCTCGAAACCCATCGCGAAAATAGCCACTGCGCACATGCAATAATTATTACAACATAACAAATTTCTTCTTGTTATAAGATTTCTTATTACAGGATTTTTTATTATTATAATTTATAATTACTATTGATCAATTATTCTTATGTATATACAATATTTATACCTGAGAGCTCTTTATGTTTACGTGTGTTTATATATCAAAAATTGGTAAAATATATTTTGTTATTATTCTAAAGTAAACTTCTGCCTATATGTATACGTACGCAATGCAATTATGATATGCAACGATAGCATGTCCAATATCTAAATCGAGAAATAAGATATAGCGCGATATATAAAATGTCTGATTTGTCGAGTTACAAAGTGTAATCGAAACTGAAGCTTGTTAACACTAGACGATAACATTTGTGTCATTACAGTGCCGTAGTAGAAAAGTTTCTTCTATGCAAAATCATAGAATACTGTTATCAAGATGTATATGTACATATTCTATACAACACACTTTATCCCACAGAGAGTTTCTGGGAACGTTCTCAGGATGTTCTTCAGAATGTCCCTTGGAGATCTGTGCTATATGAGATAATTACGTTATATGTTTTAACGAAATTCAGGATGTAATATGCAAAAGATTATATTATTGTAAAATTAATAGCGTATTAAGAGTATTAAACACGGAAGCATTTCTTGATAAACAAGAATGCTTATATCTTTAGCGATTAACTCGGGAACCATAAATGATAGATACATAACTGTTGATATATCAGAAACATCGACATATTAACCTTTGATCTTCTCGGAAAATAATTCAGTATGTATATACATATATAGATATCAGCATCACTGTACCAACGTACAACACGAAGGCGATGATTACATTGTTCAACAAAAAAATGCACAAAATCGTAATCGTTTCCCGATTTTTGGTCGCTAAATACAATTTCATGTACTACATTGCTACCTCATATTCTCAATTTGAGAAAAATGTGCAAAGTCGCAATAAAGATTTTAGTGTAGTTTGACATTTGATAACTATAATATGTGTATGATATGTAATGTGTTGCAGAAGTTTTATTGCAATAAAAGTAAATTGTTATCAAGACTTTCAATTCTTAAAAGGAATTTGTTTCATCGATTATAATTAAAAATATATTTATAATTAATACATAATCCACAAAGTTGAAATATGTCATTAAAAATCTATCAAAAATATTTTTAATTATGTTATTGTTTAAAGCTATATAGATATTTCAAGTCACTAAACATTAATCTAATGTCAAATCTGATATAAAAAGAATGGCAAAATCAATATAGCAAAATATCGAAATAAAAAAATAAAGTTTGAATTGTTGGGATAGTTTATATATACATATATAGAGAGAGATTTTTTATACAAATTAAATTGAATTTATCAACTTTTATCAGATAAGTATTCAGCAATATGAAAAACGCTTAAATAATTTGAATGACATAAAAAAAATTTAATATTAAAATATATTTGGTAGATTCTTAATGACTTATATATGATTCATATCTTTGATGCAAACCTATATAAGCTTAAATATCTTTTTAACTATAACCGACACAATAAATTCCTTTTAAGGATTGAAAGTCCTAACAATAACGTACTTAATATTGATTACAATCAAACTTCTTTAACACATTACATATCTTATTTTACATTACATATTATAGTCATAATATATCGACATGCAAAAATAGCTCTTTCTTGTAGTAATTTCAATCGCAAATTTCTCAAAATTGTGATACAATAATTTGGTAAACGAGATTGCGACCAAAAATTTACAATAAACGATTATCCTCGTACTTATGTTTAAGAAAGTCATTTTTATTAAACACCGTTATTATTGATTATTTTTTTGTAGCATCGATGTAACGTATTTGGTTACATAATTTATTGAAGAATTATGTAATACTACTCTAATTGTATGTACATTTTTTACTGTTCCGTAATATCGTACAACTTTATTGCGATAAAAGCTTCTGTGCAATTAAAAAAGTTACATTAATATATTAAAAAATTCATATATATTATCTGCTTCAATATCGGGAGATATATATTTGAATTAGGTTTATATAAGAAATGAATCGTTGACTAATGAGAATTTTTTTGAAAATTCCTTCAAAATTCTTTTCGTGTTTGTTTATTATTTTTTAATATAAATTGTTTCTTTTACAAAAAAAACCCGGTTGTTGTCGTGATTTATGTCCACAGCGCTCTCAAGTTAACCCTTTTATGTTAATTACTCACGGGTGGTAATACGCACGGTAAATGGACCCGCACGAGTCGAATGAGACAGGTGGCCCTAAGCTTTTTCCTCTCTCGAAAGAAAAAAAGAATAATGAATGTTAAAGCTTCCGTATTTCCGTGAGATAACGTTTAAATTGCCTGCGCAGTATTAACTGTAAATATTCGCTCTGTAGAATTAATCGGGAGACCTGAATAAACTAGGGGATTTTTATCTCAAAACAAAAATCAGCACAAAAATAACATATATAGATAAATACCTAGTGTAATATTTATCTTAGAACTTTTGCAGTTGGATAACGATATATTTTCAATCGATTAAAACTCTTTTTGCGAATTGAAATAGATATAACTCAACAAATTGAGAGAGATCGCGAAAGAGGCGACTGATGGACGTTTACAATTCGAAGGATCTGTATGCAGGTATGTAAGTAATCTTTTAAGTACAAGCATATACCACTTGGATACCGCTCTCTGACACCTTAAATCTTGAAAGTTTATTGCCATGACAATAACCGTCAGCTGGCATAACTAACAATTATATAATGTCCTGACTTATGGACTAATTTGCATTTTAATCTGACCACCCATTGTTGCTCGCCATTGTCGGCGAAATGCGCAGTTGTCTGCTTAAGATAGCAAAGTTCGAGAGGTTGAAACGGGGTCGTCGTCAATTTGTAAAACAATGAACGCAAGAAAATAATATATAGATGTTACAGGCATGCGATATATAACTGTCCATTCAAAGATTAATCGTAAATAGTGTCAATATCAATTAAATTAAAGGATGCATCACCTTTTTCCCTTTTCTGGATATATCAAAAGAACAATCAATGACATATTCATTCCGATCGCACTTGAAACTCTCTGGAATATAAAGATCCAAACAAATAGAAAGCGAAGTCGTGATGAACACTGGAAAATATTCCAATTTATGAATGGCATAGTTCATATATTTCCTTTTTTCTCTCTCTCTCTCTCTCTCTCTTTTTCCCTTTCTTTCTCGCAATTGATTCTTGATTCTATTAAAGACGCGTCCAGACCAGATCCATTTGCCAATTCGCCTGTCGGTGCAAACGACCTATCCGATTGCTAATTGGTAATCATTTACACCGATACCTCAACTTTTTAATCCAGCATACATATGCGACAGCCGATACCTCCTATCACAAAATCAACTTTCCAATTAACAACCATAATCCATCTTTTCTTTGGAAAAAGAAAGATTTATTTGTAGAATTAATTTTAATCTACAATGATACATATACATAGTTTAATTCAAGAAAAGATAATATTTTCTCTCCTTGTTAAATACGTGCGTTTGCGAATTGTATAAGGAAATGTATAGGGTAAAAGCGCTAAATACGAATTAGGCACTAATTCCGGATCACATATTTTATTTAAATAATCACAGTATTTTCCATCAAATGATGCATATCACAAGATTCTTTAGCATTTGTTTTATCTTTTTTAAATGTCAGTTGTTTTTTACTTATTAGCAACAACGCTGTATATTTTATTGATGTCATTAACTAATAAAACGTGAGAGATAAACTAAAGTTACTAAAGTATGTATCTTTAAAAATTTATTCAAAGTGTAAGATTGCCTTATGGCTTTTACAGGAGACAGTAAATAGCATTATATTTCCTAATTCATGAAAATCAATATCATGCTCAATTGAAATTAAATCCAAAACGTATAATAAAGCATTTGGTGAATTAATCCGTAATTAGTACATGATGTCTAATTGTGCCTATATATATATATATATATATATATATATATAAAATTATCATTATTTCATTTAATTAAAACAGTACCGAAACATATAAAATGGTATCAAAATGAAATAAAATTATCCATAATGTAATCTTTTTTTATGATTAATTATAACTATTAAATATTTCATTAATTGTTCGGTATCGTTCTGGATAAAAATATGAATTCTTTTAAGAGTGATTTACATACTGAAAAAAAATATAGTCAATTTATATATAATAAATATTTAGTTGAATACATGCCAACTAAATATTTATTAAATATAAAGATATATTTATTTGATACAAGAAATGTTGATTTGATTTAACAATTGTTTCTTTTACTAAACAAATATTTATTTACTGTAAGTAAATATTTAGTTGGCAGTATTGAACTAAATATTTATTAAAATTGACTATATTTTTTTCTCAGTGCAACTAATGGCCTTACCCTAAATTATCGTGATCATCAATTTGGAGACTAATTTAGAAACGATATTCGTAGTATACACGTGGCGGGCAATACAGAAGATTGATCAAGAGTAGGGGGCGACGAAAAATTGTCAATCAATGCATCCCATCCGGACTTGATTACAGCTCCGCAATCGCACTTATAGTCGATTCTGAATCTCAAAATCGCCCGGCCGATTTTTATACGTCGTAGTTACGAGTATTCGACGAGTATCGGTTGTAAAATATTGTCCGCCGTTTCATCTCTTCGTGCGCGGAAGTCTTTTATTATTTTATTCGCGTGCGTTGTTCTTTTAATTGCGTTATCGTGTACCATCTCCTACCACGAAAAAAATATGGAACGCAAAGTAAATTTAGACATTCAGGATATTTCAAATTCGATCTACATGACATTCTGTAACTGGCAGGGTGGACGATGATTCCAAATAAAAAAAATATGTCGAAATCGTCGAATGAAATTCTTCCCTACGATACTTCCTCTATATTTGAGAATATCGATTTTTAAAATTCCAAAATTAATAATGGTTCTTTTTCTCTGTCCAGATTATTGTCGTTTTTCAATCAATGACGTTTTTTAATCGATTTATTAAATTGAGGGTTAAATGAAATTGCATTCCTATTGTGAGACGATATCGCGCGCGCGTTGATTTATGCGTATATGCGTTTACAACAGGCGTGTTCACCACTACACGTGTCAAAAGTGAAAACCCTGTCTGTTATTTTTGTCATCCAATCCGCACTGCTAGCTAGAATCTCTCTTCATTTTGTTGTATTCACGTTTTCATCTGCCTCGTGCTTGTCCAGCATGGCGCAAAGCAGTTGAACCGAGTCACGGTTCAATCAGAACCAATATGTTGCACTCTCA